CCTGTCTTCTGGGTTGTTGCGCTGTGTAGTCTGGTCTATGTTTACCAACGTTTCAGAGGTCATACTGCCTCCGTCATCAGGGCGATGAATCAGCCAATTGAGTGGAGAGTCATTCATCGCCCTAATGACGGAGGCAGTATGACCTCTGAAACGTTGGTAAACATCGACCAGACTACACAGCGCAACAACCCAGAAGACAGAAATCTTCATACTCACCGCTGTGAAAATCTCAGATCACACACAGAACCCAGAACGTCGTTATCGTCACCTGAAGACGAGCCTAAATGCACTTTTTCGATAATGAACGATGTCCCCAGCCATGAATACGACCCACGTTTCGTTGCATCAGGCTTGTTCCTCTTACTTCCCCTTCTTCATTTTTTTTTAATCTTCATTTTCTGTTGGCCTTTCCGTCGCCAGACCTCTTATCTGTGTCTTCCCCCCCCACACACACACTCCCCTCCCTTTGCCCTCATTTCCCCTTTACGTTCACAACGAAAGAAGGAAAAAAGGAACTTGATGGGAAGTTTTGAGAAAAACTTCTTTATATGAGTTTCTGCTTCTTTCTTTCGTTCTTCTCCTCCTCCGGTGCCCCATTCTTTCCGTTTTATTTTTGCCGTAGAAATCATTCGGTGTATTTTTAATCTCGGGAATTGAGGATGGAGGGTGAACGAAGGGAAGTGAGAGAGGATGGAAGGAGCAGACCGAAAATACATCTATCAGACTTGTACCAGGGTTCGGCTGTATACCAAGATACAGCCACAGTCAAAACATGATGGAATGTCGTGTTTAAATGGCTCATATTATGAATGATTGACGTTTAAATTCTTGCAAATGAAATACTCTACGTCACATAGATTTTACACTTTGTACGTTCTTTAATAGAAGTCCAGACTGTGTGACATTGATTTTCTAAACGTGGTAATAACGCGGCAACTGTAATAAAACGGTTTCTTGAATTTACTGATAATAATACTGTTTTCTTGGCTTTACATTGAATTAAAAATTTGAGTGGAATTAAACTTAAAACATCGCTTCTCTTCGCACGCCAAACCGTTAGTTATCCTCGCTTTGATTACATCTTAAATTGTCTACGTGTAAAAATACACCTTCTAAGAAATATAAAAGCTCTGAATTGATGAAATTCTATCTGGCAGTCAGCCGTGTTAAATGGTAAAAGTTCGCCGACGTCTCGGGCACTGTCTCTTTCCCCATCATCAGGACGTCTGTTGATAGAGATCTGACCCGAAACTCCCCAGCACAACTGTCCGTATCTTTCCGCTTTTGACCTCTTCACTCTGGAATTTGTACGCTCATCTGTAAACGTTAATGGTCATTAATTCTGCCACATTATTCGTCCTCGGTTTTCTGTCCTGTGCTGATTGCAGCAGGGAATCGCCCCTCATGAAGTGTTATGCATTCCAAAAACTCAAACACAGGTCTTTGTGTTAAAAGAGTGGCAAAGACAAACAGACCGAGATGCAGCTGAATTCACTGAAGTCTTCAGGGCAATCAGCCGCGTCAGGTAACCATATTAAACTGACGTTTCGACAGTCGTCTCCAGGGCTTCGCAGACATATCAAAGCATTGTTGATGAGGACCGAAACGGCTCTCGAAACGTCGATTCGATGCGGCCACCGGACGCAGCTGATTGCCCGTCAAGACCTCATTGAAAACAAATTATTTTTGAATAAAAATAATTTATATATGCCTACTTGCGAGTTTATAATTCGCATAAATATCTTACGATCCGGACTAAACGGACTGAACACATGTCAAACAAGTTGCAGCGCTTTTAAGGGGTAAAACACGAACAGTTTTGAGCTGAGAAAAATTTGAGTTTCTGAAACAGTATTCCAGTGTAAAACACTAAAAAAATAGGTATTTGACAAAACACAGTTTATTTTAAGAAAATGCCGGGCCAAGAACGGGACACGATGGGCAATATTTTTCTTTTGGCTCTCAGTAATAATAAGACTGACGTAATTTATAAGGGATTTTATTACTTGACTGTAATTTATTTTAATAAAATGCTGGGTGAAGAACGGGTGGTTTTGCTAGTAGTTTTATAACTATTATGAGATTATGAGTTTTCGCGGAATGGTAGCTACTTATTTATTGTATACGTCATCTCTCCCTAATCTCTTCATGGTTTGCTGTGATGCTTAATGATGAAGTGTTGTATATCCGACCAATTGCCGGTAGACACACAAGAAGTTTTCTTTCGTATCTTCATCCCTTACCCATGAAATTTTCAGTGAAAAATCTCAACCGCGCTACGTACTGTGTTATTTCAGCGTTTTAATCATGTTATAAACACTGCCTGGTCGTAGCAGGTTTGTAAAATAGTGTTCAGTCATGCATCATTATTACTAAGAAGGTTTAGGTCTCAGATTGAAGGCAACAATCATGGCCTACTTCGATGTAGAGTTAAGTGATTCACATTTGTGATCCAGAGTTTCATTACACGAGCTTAGGAATGCGAATCTGCGAAAGAACTCAACTTTATCGTCATTGGTCATCTGTGTGGTAATTCCTTGTGCGCTTGTATGTAGACACCGACGTTTCGGGGGGAACATAATTTATGTTACCTGTTTCTCTGAAACGTTGATATCTGCACGGCGTTACAACTGAGGAGAATTCGACAAAGCGGGGGCATTCTGACTTTCAAGGACGCACGTCTTGAACCCAACGCGAGTCAATAACGGTTTATGTTTGTGACCTGTGCATCAATACAGAGATACACAATCATATTTTTGTGGTTTTAAAGGTTTAGTGATGGCATAAGAGAACTTTCTTTTATGTGATCTATTATTTGGATGGCAAATAATATATTATGTTTATAAGGTTGGCTCTGATCTCGTAAGGGTGTCTAATGCTAGTTGGTTAATATGTAGAGCATATGCTGTTAAGGGATTTTGGGCTTTATGGTATAATATTATAACCGTTGTCATGGTAATACTGTTGAGGGAGGCCTGTACTACAACGCATCACAGTTATTATAATAAACTCGAAAGATCATGTTTGAGATTGCGATACACACAATCGTATTATATTATTTAATTAAGCAAAGATAAGGAAGGATATATTTTGTTTCGCAGCATTACGTAATTTTAATTTTGGTATTCTTCATTGTGGAAATAATGCACTAAAACAAGACTTGTCTGTCATTCGTTTACTTCTGTAGAACCAGCAAAACATGTTTACGCTTTAACGCTCACAGCTTTCGTAATTAAGCAAAAAATAAGTAATTGTTTTAATTTTTATATGCTGCTTTGTTGCACTTTTCAACGAAATGTGTTTTAAGCACTTTAGATTTTACCGTCAATTCTTTACGAGTAGTTTTCCGGTTTTAAAATATTGACGGTGATGAGAGCCAATCTTATTCTTTTCACGTTCATACGGGTGGTACTACTCTAAGTCTGCAGGAAGACATGAGTGCCGTATAAACGCTAATGTGGAAATTTCTTTAAGACTGGTGTGTTTTACGACACTGTTATGTCAAATTTAAATTTTCAAGATGGACGGGGTTTGTTGGATGTACCACAATTCTAAGATTCGTCTTCAAATCTTTCCATTTGATGTTGATGTTGTGGGTTGTGATGCCATGTGGACTCGCAGGTTTGATATCGTTTCGTAGAAGCACGCTGTCTTCTTCAAGGCTAATGCGTAGTTTATTTTAGTGGTACAGTTCACTAACATGCATATAATTTTGAAAAAAGAAAGAAAAAACAGACCTTAAAACAGGGCAATTTTTGACAAATTTAGTATGGGAAATGCTGAAAACCGTTGTAGGGTGACTCCCTACTTTTTCCCATTATCCAAAAAGGATTGTTGTGTTTTTGTGATCGGGGCGGAGGGGTTTGAAGCACAGGTTTTGGGTGGGAGTGTACGGAGACGTGGAGTATGGTTGTAAGGCTCGCCAGCCAGCTGAGGAGAAGGCGGGCAACGAAATGGAGTTAATATATCACAAGTCCGTAACGTTGGTCCTGACAGTCTGAATGGGTCTGGGGAGCGCAGGCCTTCCTTCGCTCGCCTAGTCTCTTCTTTCAGTATAAGCACAGAGCTCGAGGCCGGATTCCAATGTCTCTCCTCAGAGGCCTATACCCTGTCCCTTTTTTCTCTCACAGTTTTTGTTTCTAAAGACGGTTTTCCAATTCCTAACCCACTAACACACCTCCAGCTCCCGCCGGGTTTTTCCATCTCCCGAGCACAGACTTAGTCTGTGTCGATGTTGGTCTTCTGGGTTGTAATGCAGTAGCTCTGAAGTTGGAAGATGTATATACAGCCGAAACGTTGGTACCGACCTACAAGTCCCACACTGCTAACACGGATGAAGTTGCAGTCTTTGGCCGAATCGTGTTCCTAAGCTCATGTAATTAAACTCGGGATTGGAAATGTAAATTTATTGTGAATCACTTGGCTCTACATCGAAGTACTCTGTGACTGCTAACTGCATTTTATATTTATTATTGTCACATATATAGCCCAGTATTCACAGGTAGAAACTGCTTTTAATTTTGGGGATCAAATAATTAATGTCTTAAACCGAATTTGATGTTTGCTTGCTTTAGATGGACATTTGCTGCGATCTGAAGCATAAAATATCTCAGTAATGATGTTAATTGGCAGAATGTTTCATTTTGCATGTCTTGCTACTATCAGGCAGTTTTTAGCAGTAATTGTAATATTGGTCATTAAAAGTGATTTGTAAATTTGTAAAAGTAATCTACGAAAGAGTCTAGTGCAGAGCTTCGTAAAAAATTGCCACTGTTGCATGACAATAATCTCTGAGCAGGTAGGGGTCATTTGCCCCATTCTCATTCCACCGACATTCTTCCATTTATTTGACTAGTTTAGTTAGCATAATTCGCCTGACAGCATATTCCCATAATCTTATCTTTTTTGTGACTCGTGTAAATTTGTTTAAAAATGTGACGTTCTGTTCTTTTTTCACTTCTAATTTTCGTAACACATTTTATTGTATTTCATTTGAGCAGGGGCATCACCATACAGCATGGGTCCTGCTTCCCAGGGGACACCCACCCCAATGATGTCACCTGCACCCCCAGGGGGCCCACAAGACAGTATGGGGTATAACATGAATATGAATGGGGGTGACTACAATTCCTCAATGTCAGGTTCACAGGTAAGACATTACAACTTCAGTGTTGTCGATCATTTGTTTGATTTTTTCCTGAATTAATACGAAAAAAAAAGTCTTGTAGTCGCGTTATAGACGTTTGGGTTGCGCGTTGCTACTTTGCTATCTGGAGTAGCTGAATTTGAAATCGAAATGCAGAGCAGGGACTGTGTGTCAGCTTAATTGCTAGGATGTAACGCTGTGTTTTGTGTGTGTTTGCAGCCCCCGTACACAGACAGCAGTATGGGATATGACCCGATGCACCAGGTGAGCGACTACTCTGACTAATCAGTAGGTTTAGTTACGCTTCTATAAACCTAACAGCACCCGGGCATTAAGGCTGTCCACTGCTAACTCAGTATAAAACAAATTTTCATGAAATGCGTACTGTTAGTCTAGGAAATATTTGTGTGAAAGTAATGGATGATGGTGGCATTTCTGTGGAATTCTGGTAATGTGTTAGTGACAAATTCTGAGAAGAATTTAACTGCAGTAATTTTTTTCCTGCAGATTGTCACAGAATAACAGGTCTTATTAATTAAATTTTCAGATTTGAAGATAAAATGTTAGTAAAAAAGACGTTAGTATCTGAAGATGTTGGCTTGGCCACATGCGTCACGTGTGGTCTTTTCATTTTGTCCTTTTTGTTAAATCAAAATATATTTATGAAAGTACAGTAGGGCCCCGCTTTTCGGCGATCCGCTAATACGGCGTTTTTCAATTACGTTCAGTAGGGCCCCGCTTTTAATGCCCCACGCGCTCAACAGCTGAGTCGGAGAAGTACGTCCGGCGCCATTTTCTCGTTTTCTTAGGCCTAGCGCTATTGTGCACTTACTATATGATAGTGTAAACATCGTATTAGGCTTTGATATGCATTTGCAAGTGAAAAAATGCAAAGATCCGCTTTTCGGCGATTTTCGCTGTTCGGCGGTGGTCTGGTTCCGAACCCGCCGTATATGCAGTGCCATACTCTATACACGCAAAGAAATACAAAAATTAAAGTTTCTTGAAATATCAGTGCACAGCCTTAACCATGACTTAATTGGACTTGTTCATTAGAGTTAGCAAATTGATATGGTAAGGTAATCGACTTTTCTGTTAAGTATAGCTTATACGTGAAAAAAGTTTAATTGTGAGGAATTCGTGGAATGAGAATTAACGCTTCTCTGCAAGTGATGATCTGATGAACAAGTTCTCTGGAATGTTACCCGAGTGGCATGCTGTCGGTCTGCTTCTACTAAAGCATTAAACTTGGCATGTTGACATTATGTTCTTACTTTATAATACTTCTTAAGTTCTGTGTGCGTATTGTAATTAATGAATGTACTGTTAGGCCAGTGCCACGAACTTGTTTCTTTCCTTAAATTGCCTCTGGTGGTTAATTCACTTGTCTCCAATTCAGTTAGTGATTTTGTTCATTTCTAGTGGTAGTAGGTCGTGAACCGCGTTTCCTTAAATGTTAACTGGGAAATGATTTGTCATAAGACGATGATAGCGTCATCTGTGTTTCCATTCTACTTGCCTATGAATAAATATTGATTCGTAATCAAAATTGGTATCGCAAATACAGCAACAAATGTTCTTATGTCTGGTTGGGTGGTGACTAATCATGTAGATTATCCAGAAGAACGAATTACGTATTATTTTGTTTCATTAATTGATACAGCTGCACGATGATTATAGTCGGTCCTATTTCTGGAAGTCTATTGTGCATTGATAAATTCATAGACTGGAAACGTTCTGATAATTGGGAGCTAGGGAATCTTTACCTGCAATCTGAGCATTATAAAGTGCGTGGACTTCTCTTATACCAACGGAGCCATCACGTAGATGTTTCGAAGAGCCACTTAAGCAGTAAACTGTCCACTTTGTATTTTAGACTGAAATTTCCCACTTCTTCCTTTCAAATGCAATTTAAAGGACTCCGAAGAATGAAAGTTACTTCTGCAGATAAATCCTTCAAATAAACATGTTTATGCATATTATAGTACATGATTGTATGCAAAACTCACATCTGCCTTTCATTATTTTTATTATAAGGAATCTATAGGCTAGAACACATCCTGAAGACTCACGCATAATTCACAGAAGAGGAAATCATATAAGATTGTTTTATTACTGAAATCCAAGTTCCAGGGCTTGAACTTTGGGCTGCATTTCTAGGAGCGTAATTTTATAAAAGTTTATCACTGAATTACATAATGGACACGGAGGTTGGAGGAGGAACGCCTGCTATAGGTTATAAATTGTTTATTCTAAGGAATAGCACTGCTCTGCGCTCTGCAATGTTATGTTGGTGATATCAAATGTAGAAATCAGGGCTGTGGAGTCGGAGTCGGTAAAAATGTACCGACTCCGACTTCGATATAAAATCTTAAGAACAATTTCAATACCGTGTGAGCCATCGGCTGCCTCACGCCTTAGGGAGATTCAATGACGCGTTGAGTCACGTGGTGTGGGAATAATGCTTTGTAACTTTGGCTCTGGTACCTTAAGAATACAAACTGTCTTCAAATCAACGGATTTCTGTAATAACCATTAGACGTATATTTAAATATAGGTTATAATTCTAAAAGTAGGCTTATGATTCACGTGGTGGTGATGAAATCTCTTATGGTGTCATTTACCATTTTAGTAGGTTTACCATTATTGATACATATTGAGCTTTCATGAAGGAGTCGGAGATTTTAGTATCGAATCCACAGCCCTTGTAGAAATGAGACATAAATCTCGAAGCATGATGGCTATACTAAAGAAAGTATTGATACTTGTAAAGCCAAGGCTGACTGCATAGATAACCTTAGTTGTAAAGTAGAAATGCATGGGCAGGCTGTATCTATTATCTATAATCGGGTGACCAATTACTGTGTATCTTTCTTTGCTGAACATATTGACATAATTTTACTGTTCAACATAAAAGTAATATTTATATTTCTCAGATAATTATAATTCTACGACAGGTTATACCGGGTCTACAATTTACGTCTTGCGGGGCGCGCCCGCACCGCGCGGTCGGCTGGCGATCTGTTGACGTGGGCGGGACTAGTCCGTGTTCTTCCCATGAGTCACAGGCGAATCAGTTTCATTGCGTCTTGTAGCGGATTGACGTTGATAATATGGTGTATAGTATTAAGCAACGTGTGTTCTTAGTCGAAACATATGCCAGATATTCATCCTACGGAAGATGCCGCCGTAAATTTCGCAGATATTTTCCCGGTGTAAGTGTTCCTAGCAGGCCCATGATAGAGAGCTTAGTAAAAAAGTGTCGTAGTACGGGATCAGTTTTGGATAAAAAGAAGAACAGGAAACGACAATTCATTTCGGCAATATCCCAGAAGAGCTTCGTCGAGTATTTAGAAATATGTTAACGAGATGTGAAGCTTGCCTGCAAGCACAAGGAAGTCACTTTGAACATCTTTTGTGATTTAAGGTAAGAACAATTAATGTAATAA